ATAAAGACTATCAAAATCAAGATGGTAAGTAATTTCAATGTTTATCATAAAAAATAAATCTATATTTATGTCAATTTGCTTGTGGCTGCAAAAGAAAAGTGCACTAAATAGCGATGTGTGTTACACCATGAGTGTGGAAATTGGGGAGGGGATGGACCCTCATACCATTGACCCTTCACCCTTGACCCTGGCTGAATGTGCATTAGAAGGACACCAAATTGTGGCGACAAGGCCGTCAGATCACATCATGGTTCAGTGGTCCATTCCAGTAAATATCTTTTCCTTCCAAAAAAAATTTGTGATACGTAAGCGTAAAAGCTATGCAGTTATGGTACCAGAGCTTAACGTTATGGTGCATTTTGACCTTTGGGGTTAGGAAAGGGTTGCAGGCATCTTTGAAAAATAATTAATTTAAAGCATAGTATTAATTAAATTCTTTTATGTAGGAAGTGATAGTAGCTTAAGCTCTGTTGGAAGTGACACCCGAAAGATCCCCGAAGGACCACCGGTACTCTGTTTTTAATCAAGTGGTTGAGGATGAACAATGCTATCAATGGCGACCTGATTCGTCCCAATGTTTGCCATATGATTCCTGGTTATTATAATTGAAAAGGGCAGACTTTTGCTGACTATTATTCAAATGGTTCCCTCATTAAAATGTTTCTTTTCGCCACCACCCACCTTTCTTTATTACTAGTCCTTTGTCTTGTTATCATCGATATGGTATTTCAAAATACATCAAAATCACAATTTTTTATCTTAATTTTCAATCTCCGGCAAGCAGGTTTATATCCTGATGTCAATCAGGTGTGGTAACCTTATATTTGGTATATTTTTTTTCTTATTTTTCTTGCTAAATATGCAAGGAATTGTCAATTTTTTTTTTTGACAATGAAGAGTGTTGGTCCTTCGTTTGGAGCTCGGAAGGATCCTGGAGCACTCGTGGCTGTGAATGGAGGGTGGGGTTTGGTTGCTAAGGGGAACAAAGGGCATGAATAGTCGAGGCAGAAAAGCGTGCGACGTCGGCAATGATGTTATTGAAGGGGCCACTGGAGCCAACTCAAACACGTAAGTGAAGAACAAGTACTATACATCTTTGCTATTAGTCTCAAGGGTGTGTTGCTTCAGTGTAACATGGCTGAATCCAACAGCCAATTACAGGGTTTAGATTTCATAATTTGGTAATTCTTTCCACTCTCTGCTGGAAGATTATGGAGTTTGGTGTAGAACAAGGCAATCTAATTAAATACAAAAGCACTCCATTGCTTATTCCGAATTGCAAAACTTTGGACCTGAAACACCGTTGAAGCACCTCTGCATTGGCGGGCCTCGTTGTTGCTTTCATCTGCAAGTTATTGAAGGTGCAAACCCCATCCTAGATTTTGCTTGATTTCGATTTTCGACATCGTGGGCAAAGCAGGGCCTGAAAAGAAAGAATCTAAAAAGGGCAAAGGCCTTGTCCATTTGTCCATACGCAACAAATGCAAAGTTTCAAACTTCATCTCTCCAATGGCCCAAAGTGGCCACTACTTTTTATCAGCAATTGACCCTTCATCGTTTTAGCAGTTCCTAATCATCCTGTATGCTGCAAAATCTTTTAAGATGTCAAACAAAGCTGATATTTGCTTGGAATGAACAGCTTAGAGCCTTAAACTGGTGTACTGTTCCTAAATGTTCGATTTTGACTACTAACACATATTGTTACATAGAATATGTATATAATCTTAAATCATATTGAAAATAACGCAAAACAAGTGACAGAATTCACCCCTTAAGAGCTGGAATCCGTTTCTAATAACATCTTAGAGCTTCTCTTTCTGATAATACAAATTATGGACAGGTCTGAGGAGCAAAACGTGCTCGCGAAATTGAATATTGCCACGTTTTTCTGTGCAGTATCCGTTGGAGGATTTGACTTCCAGACAAGTCCAACATGGTGTCAATCCTGCTAATAATCCCGTTTGATTCCAAATCATTTGGTCTAAAACGACGAAGGGTTTTCCCTACGCTTTGAGAAGGACACATCTGGTTGGTCGGTTTCAACAACTTCGAGACGTGTCCTGTCGGATATTGCATCCACTTTGTGACAGACAAGTAACGTTAGCGACAAATGATTAAGAAAGAGATTATAAATTTACTTTCTAGCTTCTAGTGGTAACAGGATTCCCCTGGGGCGTTTCATTTCACTAGTTGAACTCACTCTCTGTCTCTCTAGTAATTATTGGTAAGCTTTTCGATCCAAATTAGGGTTTTCTTTGTTTTTTCTTTTAAACAACCTTAGGGTTCAAATCAGTGCTTTGTCAGCTGTTTGTTTGCTGTAGTGGGATTTGAAGTTGTGTTCCGTCTTTGTAATGTTACAGTTGATTTGCTTACTTAGATACAGTGAGGAAGTCTCAGTCTTCAGTTTGATCTTGATATAGAAATTGGAAAAAAATGGAATTTTTATTGATGGAATTCAATAATAAAGATAAATCAGCTGAAAATGAATAAAAAGATTGAATCTTGGTGTTAAAGATGTAATTTTGAGTTGATATACTTTGTTGGCTTTATGAAGGGTTACAGAGCAATCGGATTTGTTGAAAACATGGCTGAGGGTTCAGCTGCAGTTCCCAGTACTGAGTTGTTGGAGTGGCCAAAGAAAGATAAGCGTCGGTTCCTTCATGCTGTGTACCGTGTTGGTGATCTCGATCGTACCATCAAGTATGCTTCTCTAGAACTTGGGAGTGTTCTTACATTTTTTCAGTACTTTCTTTTCTTTTGATTCTTGGAATGGATGTCCTTATTTTGTGGTATAAATTTGTGTTCAGGTTTTACACTGAGTGTTTTGGGATGAAGCTGTTGAGGAAAAGAGACATTCCTGAAGAGAAATACTCCAATGCCTTTCTTGGGTTTGGCCCAGAGGAGTCTCATTTCGTTGTGGAGTTAACATATAGTATGATTCCTGCTATCTTTGTTCCTTTATATGGAAATATTCTCTGCAAAGGCCTTTTTGTACATCCTTGTCCTGATTCCTTTTTATGCAAAATTATGTAGATCTGCTAGGTCTATTGCAGCATAGCTCACTATGGTTAATCTAAAGTGGGTACTTTTAAGGCTATAGTATGTAATGTTGAACTTGTGTTTCTTTCAATAACTAAGCTTGTTGCTCCTTTCATTTGGGTGGTGGTGGTCAAGGAATTTACTGATGGCGAAAGAGGGCTTTTAATTTTAGTTCTTTACTTTGTGATTATTAATTCGTTTGTAGTTCTCTTGAACTTCGATGATCTCTAAGAACTTTTTCTTTCTTTACAGATTATGGAGTAACTTCATATGATATTGGAACTGGATTTGGGCATTTTGCAATTGCAACTGCTGATGTAAGTTCTGTACTTTTGGAATACTTCAAGCAAAGGATTTGTTGCAATGCTGAAATGTGTTTCACTTCGAATTTTTAGGTTTACAAAATGGTTGAAGACATCCGTGCCAAGGGTGGCAATGTTACTAGAGAGGCTGGTCCAGTCAAAGGTGGATCTACTGTCATTGCTTTTGTGAAGGATCCTGATGGTTACATTTTTGAGCTCATCCAAAGAGCTTCTACTCCCGAGCCACTCTGTCAAGTAATGCTTCGTGTTGGGGATTTAAATCGCTCTGTCAAATTCTATGAACAGGTAGTGCAATACAAAATAACCTTTTGCTTGGATTTTGTACCACCGATTAAACTTATTTTTTGATTTCAAAGCTAAATCGTTGTGCTTTAACTTATTGGAAGATAGTCATAAACTCTATGGAGGCTTTGGGCCTAATGATTGCTTGCTATCATTGCTCTCCAATGATTCTCTTTTATGACTTTGTTGCCCAAAAGGGTTGAGAAAAAAACTTGATGAGTTAGTAATTTCACTGCTTTTCATCGTTTATTTCTTTGCAGGCCCTGGGGATGAAGCTAGTAAAGAAGGTTGATAGGCCAGAATACAAGGTAAAGTGTGTCCTATGTGGAATTTTTTATTTAGTTTACTTAGCTGGAGATATGAAAGTTATCCTTTAGCAATGAAAAAAGCCTACTAAATCCTCTCTCGACAGTACTCCATGGCCATGATGGGTTATGCAGAAGAACATGAGACTACTGTTCTTGAGTTGACTTACAATTATGGAGTGACTGAATATACCAAGGGAAATGCATATGCACAGGTCAGTTTTAGACTCACTTTCTGCTTAGCTATCCTTGGAACAAAAGTCTCTGTGCTGCTTCCATTGCCCTGTTTTTATTGATTATTGTCTCCATTCCAGGTTGCCATTAGTACTGATGATGTATACAAAAGTGGTGAGGTTGTGGAACATGTTATACAAGAGCTTGGCGGAAAGGTTACACGAAAACCTGGGCCAATTCCCGGAATTAACACCAAAATCACCTCTTTCCTAGATCCTGATGGCTGGAAAACAGTAAGTTTTTGTTGTGCTGCCAACTTTATCATCTCTATCATTTGCATGAGCATTAGAGTTCGAATGTTCTTATAAGTGTTCTGATTATAGTTTTTACCTTGACAAAGCTCACGATATGATTCTGCTCCGTGCCTGCAGGTCCTGGTTGACAATGAAGACTTTCTGAAAGAACTCCACTAGGCAGAGCGATCGAATGGCAACGAAGGCTCCATAGTCCTGCTACTATGTGAATAAATTAGTATGTAGTGGAATAAGCCAGCAATATGTATGTCTGCTTAAGTATGGTTGTTGCTATGTAACTTTTAACAATGTTCCACTCCGATATGGTCTGGATCTAGTATGTTACATAACTATCAGTAGGTTTTGGAGACTGATTTTTGCTTTAAAATAGTCAAGACTGGTTGTCGGCCTGAATGCCCCTACTAAGGTAGTCTCCAGACTTTGTTCTTCTACCTTGAAGTTATCGGAAAAACTGGAAAACAATAAAGTTCGGATGAACAAATGAGGCACCTCAGTCCGCAGAATCCATCTCCTGCATCGAGCATTTCTCCATGGCTAAAAGCTAAGATAAGGCTTAGCTTTGCATTATGGGTGAGTTGAATAACATAATTGAGAAACAATCATTGTAAAAACAAAGGCCAAACTTGATTTGCAACAGTTAAATGCTAACAGAGAGATGAAAGAACGTTTCTTTTATTTCTTTAAATTAAGATAAAAGAGATAATTGTTCCATGAAAACGAGGGAATGCCCTCAAGAGGGAAATATACCCCATCGTTATGACATTGAATTGTTTTTCTTCATTGAAATATCACAACACTCCTTTCAGGAGGATGTAAAGAATTATGAGGTTAAACAGAAAAGAAGAAAGAGGGAGTAGTAGGTCATGTTGAAGAAGCTTTCGAACTGATCAGTAGGCCTTCAACATACTCCAGGAATCTCTCCATCTTCAAATGTATAAAGACTAGACTTGTAAAGATCATGTGGGTTGGCTAATAGAGAAGGAAAGAGGGAGTAGTAGGTCATGTTGAGGAAGCTTCCGAATTGATCGGTTGGCCTTCAACATACTCCAGGAATCTCTCCATCTTCAAATGTATCAAGACTAGACTCGTATATACAGATCATGTGGGTTGAACCGTCTCCATCTGAAGGTGTGACGGACCAACATGGTCTTCGTTGAAGAAGTATCCATCTAGACAGTCGTATCCATCGGATAGGAACCAAGGACACGGAGAAATGTTGCACATTCCTGGTAAAAAGAACATGGATCCCAAGGACTTCAGGAATTTAGGCAAAGAAAGGAGGACTTTTTGGGGGAAACAAATATGATCATTACAAGTTGAAGACATGGTTAAGGAGTTTGAGAGGACTGACCTCTAAATTTGCCAATGCACTTTGGGCACGCTGTTCTGCCATAGAAGCTTCAAAGTCGATATAGAAAAGATAGTCGAAGTACCTGCCACCAGACATAGCTCAGATTAATAGCATAAATTTAACTTATTTATTACTCGTGATAATGTCTACGTCAAAAATAGTGTATTGTGCTTGGTTTATACTTTCATATTTATTACGCAGACCTTGAAAAATATTGCATCAATAAGATCTATCGCCCATCAATATGCATATTAATTCTGGAATTACCAAGATCCAATTTACAGTAGCAGATCTCAACAAATACGACACTTACTTGGCAGTCCCTTTGTCAGAATCATCGACTCTTAGAGGATGCATTTTTAGTGGTCGACTCTCTATCTGAAAATTGCTCCAAGAGGTCAGATAACAATCAGAATCTTCTGACATTATGATAAGCCAAAGACCGAACACTTTGTTATATTTACCTTTGACAAATTGATACCCCTTAGAGTAAACGCAGCCAAAGCTTTGAATAGCATGCCAGGACCTTCTTCTAGACTAAAAACAATGCTCGTCTGGAAACATTATCAACAAAAATGAGATATTAATCCATCAAATAAAACAAATGTGACTAAGTTCAAGGAGTTATACCTTATAAGGCTTGTCAGTTTTTGGAATTATGGGTTCCCTTGCAAGTACCAAAAACCTGGTAATGTTATGCTCCTCGTCCTGATGCATGAGGTGAAGTAAATCAAATCAAATTGACTTTTCCAGTAATCAATATTCAAGGCAACAAAAATCTTTCCAGATAAAAACCAAAACAAAAGAGGAATGCTATATCATACACAAGCCTCGGACAAAGCAGTGATAATTTAAGAACATTGACTGAATAAGTTTTGATACATAGACTGAAGTGTCTGAGAAAGAAATCAGAGTAGCCAGAGTGACCACCATAGTTGTTGTTCAAAACACAAGTTGGATACCCATCAATCCAACTTCCCACCACCCAACCAGAATGGTGATAATGACTGCAAAGAGAAATTGAAAAAGATATTGCAGAAATGGTGCCTGCATGCCCTTTCTCAACCTAGGCATGTAAAACAGGAAGGTTATACTACTAAAATACTTTAAACTCCCAGGCCGTATAACTGCATAATTTTGTACAATCTAAGCCTATGATATCAAAATCATTACAAAGCCAGAATTCTTCTTTTTCAAGGAATCTACGTGGCACCAATGAGGCATAAAAACACTGAAGTTTAACCTGGATTTTTCTAGCAAGAATGTGAAGCCCATATATTTCTGCTGCTCGAGCACTTGCTATTGCGCCAACATTCCTTGCACCAGTTAAGACAGCAATCTGTTCCAGCATCTTAGAATGAAAAACATCAGGAAAAACAGAAGAAGAGGAAATGTCCAAAATATGACTTACGAGGAAATCGTATTAGCACAAGAAGATCTCCAAAAGTACCTGAGCAGCTGAGGCACAATCATCAGAATTAATTCTAATAAAGCCCATGTTGCTAAGTGTCATCTCACATTGAGCAAATGCCTGAAAATAATAATATCGTTAGGATTCAAGAATCTGACGTGATGGTGTGCACTGCAAACCAGCCATATCTTGAAGTTTGCATGTTTCCTAAAGCAAATTCGTAGGTGATCTACTATATATTACTAGTATGTCCCAAAACATCAGGTAACTTCCAGAACAAACATGAAACTAAAACAATATGGAAGTATGAACATGTTTAACCTGGGGATGGCCTAAAACACGATCCATTTCCTCCATTCTGACGCCAGGCAATGCCAAGAGGCAGTGATTAATAGCCAAATGCACCTCCCTTACTATGTGTAACCTATGCTGGAGGAGTAAGTCATAATTACGGTGGATGCTACCACCTATAGAATTCTCGATGGGGAGAACTGCTTTTCCCACTAACCAAAGTTCAACTGCCTGTTAAGAGAATGAAACTGTATAATGTAACATTTCGGCATAGGTTCATGCACTAAGAAAATACCAATAAAATATTTATCATCAGAACCTTGAATGCCTTTTCATATTTCTCACAGGGTACAGTTTCACAATTAGGGTATGCTTTAAGGGCAGCAGCCTCACCATATGCACCTGGCATTCCCTGAAATTGGTAATAGCCAATATAAGTATAGCAAGAAACACATTAATGTTTAGTAGACTAATGAAAAAGTTTCAGACCTTATAAGCAACCCGAATATTTGAACCATCATCATCATATGTAGATAGATCCGTTGTGGACAGGGGTTCTGCAAAACAGTTATATATTCAATCTTGGAAACTGTATCAACAAAAACCATGTACGGTCCTAGTTATTAAAAGATAACAAACAACACCCTATGAAAGAATAATACAAGAAATTGGAAATAAATTTATAGTGCACGCTGACAATCAATGAATTTTTCTCTTGCTTAATAGCACACTCATATATACCTTTGAATATTAAATCAAATCTTTGCAACTCAAGAAAATAACTAGATTCATACTCCAAACCAATGAATATAAGTATTATAATCTGAGACCAATCTAATAACTGAAAAGGCAGATATTTGTTGCCTACAACTATGAATTAATCCATTCTCCAACCATGTAAAAGTAATATTGTTTTATTTGTACACATGCAGAAAGTGTCCATTTGGGAGCCGTTCAAGCCTAGAACACCTCAAATTCATGCAAGTGAGAGTGCCATCTCACTGGATTGGCATTATGCATGAGACTCAAAAGTTCCCAAAAAGAAAATTCCAAGCCATACCCATACGTGTGTTCTCGTAAAAGGTAAGAGATGCCTGATTCAGCATAAATTATTACACGAAGCTTCAAAATAACGTAACTAGAGATCATAAGCATCCAAAGCCAGCAACAAACTCAACCTTAACTTATTGGCAACAACTCTCAGTTGGGATTTATTTTCCTGCTAGAGCAATAGTTCCAAGGGATCCAAGAGTCCAAAACAATGCTTCCATGCAGGAAACAATAGAGAACCATCTTCTAACTTTTCATACCTACGTATCCTCGAAGCACATTCAAACAACTGACATTTGATATAATTGACCTCATAATTGGCATTCTACATATCATATAAAACATGATTCATCCTAACGCATGTTCCAATTATCAGCCATTACAGGGATTGCAGATAAGAGTGGCTGCTTTTAAGGAACAAACTCATTGAAATAGAACCTTGCATTAAAATTACCAACAAATAGCTATAAACATTAGAGCCAGTGAATTGGATTAATCTACGTTGCCCTCCAACATATTTTCTGTATCATTTTCAACCTAAGTGCAATATTTGCATCCAAATTGAAAAAAGAAAAGGAAAATTTGTTTTCCTCTACAATTCAACTAATGCTAATTTACAGAACAGAGCATAGCTATCATCACATTTAAAACTCAGAGAACAATAGCGCAATACAACAGATTAAAACCAATCCAAAGTACTATAACCGAGTTTACTTACTAGGAAGAAGACTCAAGTCCTTGTGAAACTCCTTGGACTCAGTGTCCTGAGCTTGATCAGTTTTCCCAGTCTGAAATGTCTCGACTTCAGTACCGTAAGGCTTACCTTCAATAGCAGAGCTAGCTCTAGGTGCGGAAAAACCCAAAGCACAGCATTTCCATTTGGGAGGCCTCACCTCCAACACAATCCTACTTCGGGTGGACCCCAAATCTGGTGTCCCCAGATGAGAGTGAGGCATTCGAGAACAAACCCAGTTTGGAGCACACTTCAAAGCCATTAGAAACACCAACAAGGAACCAGTCTGAAACCAACTAACACACGATGAAAACACAGTTACGGAAACAAAGAAACAAAGTTTGGTGGTGGTGGTGTTGGTGAAACACAGAAAGACAACGTCGAAGGCGGTGAATGAGAAATGCCGGCTAAGAAGTATGGACCCCACGACACGAACACACTCAAAAGAGACACAGATTTCCCCCACTGTGTGTTTCAAACGTAAGCCATGTAGTTCTCTTCCCAAAAGACACCGGCTTTTTCCTTCTCCTACGACTAGCTAAAGAGGGAGGGAAAGCACAGGTAGGTGGAACAGCAAAGTTAGCTAACACGTTTCCTTAAATTCGAGAGTGTTTAACGACAAACGAAGAAAATCCGAGCCTTGTGCTATCAATTGGAAACTTTGTCTCTTCTCTGTCTTCCATGGCTGCTGCTTCAACTGGTATTTATACACACGAATACGATGCGTAATGAGGGAGTGGTTTTGGAAACTAAGTGGACCCACGTTTGCCTTCCAAATTCTGATAGCAAATCCTCACCTGCTCAACCCATTTGGATAAACTTTCCATAAAAATAAAAAAAAACATGATTTTTCTGTTTTATTAGGTAATTTTGGAAAATAATTTATTTTAGGTAACATTATTTTGGTTGTAAATCATTATATATAATCATCTCTGCTAGTTCGTGTAATTTTTTTAAAAATTTTAACATAAATTAATTAAAATTATAAAAAATTATATTTTCATAATTATATAAATTTTTATGTATATATTTTAACTGTAATAACGATATCTATTAATTTGAATTTAACTTACTTTTTCTCGAATATTTAAAGTAACATTCTTTTAAGATTATAAATTATAACATATCCTAACGGTAATAACGATTTTATTTATTCGAATTGAAGTGATTTTTTTTGGAAGATATTAAATAAGTTCACATTAAAAGATTGTAAATTATGAAGTGTTTATTCATACTATTGGATAAAGTTACCATATAAATGAAAAAACATAACTTATATATTTTTAAGTAACATTCTTTAAGATTATAAATCATTATATAATGGTTTAACTATTACAATACATATGATAAGATAATTATTACTATTATTATATTAACGCATTTCATGTACATATGGGCGTGGTCAAGCTTTGTTAGAGGTAAGCCAGCATCATTCCAGTTACTATGACTTTGTCAATCAACATAACAATAAGGTACACTGCCCGGTACAAGTACGGGGCTTTTCCTTGGCTGTAAACAAAGTAGCAATGATTCACAATCTGATCATTTATGTATGAGAGTTGCTGAAAATGACAGGGGAGCCTATTAGAATTGGAGGTGTTCCATTGATCATGGATGGTGATGGAGCTGGTGGATATATAGAAACCAAAGGGAAGTTGGTGTGGGGATGACAACGCCAAACCATTTTCAAGTACCCCTACTGATGACTGATGACTGGACTGGTCCTTTTTCTTACTTGTTCCAAAGTTTGAGTTTCTTTCTCCTGTCAGCCAAAAGCCTGGTTCTCATAAAATTCACTGATGGAGGTAAATGATCTAGGTGAAAAGGGCAGGCAAATTAAACTCTGTGCCACGGAGGTACAAGTTTGTCATCACAGTAGTAAATGAAGATGAGGTGACATCCTCTTACCAGTTACATTGCATCTAAGAAAAGAGAGAGAGAGACAATCTTCAGAAGTCAATCACGTTTTCCATTTCTTGGACCATATACTTGATTTCAGCAAAGCTAGGAATACTTCTAGTGTTGGACTTGTCTAGTTGACTGACAGATAAAGCACATACAGTACAATCTTGTTGAAGAAAAGTCAATTAAAAGACGGTAAAAGAGAGGAAAACCAGCAAGCCTCCTGGCCTTTCTTCATTGAATTATACCCCAAAAATGTTGTTTGGTGGATGGTGCCTGATCAACTACTACTCTCTGTAATATAATTTCTCTTGTTAAACTGTACATTATAGGAAACACTAGTGTCCCCTTCTTTGATTTTTCCAAACTGCATAAAATAGGGAAAGAACCCTATTTTTACTTCTGTTTTCTTTTTTTCATTTTAAAAAGAAGTTTGATTACACAATCTGTAAAGTAAAATAACTGTACGACCTCGACCAATTCAAAATTCAGTTTGAAGTCAAAAGGGCACCAACCATTACCAAGACAGGACATGGTTATGGTGTTTGGTTTTGGTTTGGAGGACTGTCTCTTTGGTTTTGTTGGGCCTAGACCTGTTGTTACAGATTGCATCTCCCACCATGCTAGTAAGCCCAGCCATGTACACAAGAAAACAAAAGGAAAAGCGAAAAGTGCTGTTATAAGTTTTAAGCTATACATGCATGCAATTACCTAAGTTCAACTGAAGAAGACACTGAACAGTAGAGCATGATCAATGCAGCAGAGCTAGACAGCCGTTAAGTATGTTCGTATATTAGGATATATATTTTCAAAATAAAAAGTTATGTTATATAGTGAAAAATTATGTTAGTTCAAAGATTATGTCACAAGGAATTATATAATGCAATTATTGGATTGTAGGGGAATTTTCAATTTGAATAATTATGTTTTTTGGTAAAGTAAAAGTATCTATGATATTTTCTTAATTTCTTCTTTAGAAATGCTTCCATTGCCCTTTTTAGTGACTATTGTCTCCACTTCCAGGTTGCTATTAGTACTGATGATGTACACAAAAGGGGTGAGACTCTCGAACATGTTATACAAGAGCTTGGGGGAAAGGCTACTCGAAAGCCAGGGCCAATTCCGGGAATCAAGGCCAAAATCACCTCTCTCCTAGATCCTGATGGCTGGAAAACAGTAAGTTTTTGCTGTGCTGCCAACTTTACCATCTCTATCATTTGCATGAGCATTTTTAAGTTCGTAATGTTCTTGTAAGTGTTCTGATAATAGTTTTTATGTCGAGCAAGGTCATGATACGATTCTGGTTCGTGTCTGCAGGTCCTGATCGACAATGAAGACTTTCTGAAGGAACTCAAGTAGATAGAGTGATCGAATGGCAGAAAAGGCTCCCTAGTCCTGCTACTATATGAATAAATTAGAATGTAGCGGAATAAGCCAGCAATGTGTATGCCTGCTAAAATATGGTTGTTGCTATGCAACTTAAACAATGTTCCACTCCCATCTGGTCTGGATCTAGTATGTTACATAACTATCAGTAGGTTATGGAGACTGTTTTTTGCTTTAAAATAGTCAGACTGATGTTGTTGGCTTGAATGCCCTTACCAATGCCCTTAGTTAGGACTGTGCGGCGGTTGGACCAGGCAACCTACCGCAACCGTCGGTTGTTCCAATTGGCCTCATCGACTGATTGGCTCGGTCGTTCTGGGCCACTCCCTTCCCCCCTAACAGATCAAAAAATCGGTGAAGTTTTTTTTTTGTTTAGAGACAAAATTACCCTTTACTCATTTTTGTCTAATTTCCCCCCACCCCGCGACCTAATTCCCCTCGCGAGTTCTCGACCTAATTCCCCCCCCCCTCCTGGTCGGAGGCCGCCCCCCCTCCCCCCCAACCTAATTCTACCCCCCTTCTTTCTTGTTTTTTGCCTTTCCTTGGCTTCCTCTCTCTCTAACCCGCTGAAGCAACCATTGATCTACCACTTTAAAAACTGACCGAACCGACCGAAATCGAGCCTCCAAAAAATTGACCAATACAGACATTACAATCTTATACGGTTTGGTCAGTTTTATTGTAGAAATTTTTGATCAATTTTTACCAAAAATCAAACCGAAACCGATAAAACCGACCGTGGCACACCCCTACCCATAGTCTCAAACTAGGGTAGTCTCCAGACTTTATTCTTCTACCTTGGAGTCAAAATGATAAAATTCCGATGAACTAATGAGGCACCTCAGTCCTCAGAATCCATCTCAAGCATCAAGCTTTCTCCATGGCTGCTAGGATATGGTTTAGTTTTGCATTTATGTGAGTTGCATAATATAATTGGAAAGCAGTCATTGTAAAAACAAAGGCCAACTTGATTTGCAACAGCTAAATGCTAACCGAAATATCACAACACTCCTTTCAGGAGGATTTAAAGAATTATGAGGCTAAACAGAGAAGAAGGAGAGAGGGAGTAGTTGGTCATGTTGAAGAAGCTTTCGAACTGATCAGTAGGCCTTCAACATACTCCAGGAATCTCTCCATCTTCAAATGTATCAAGACTAGACTTGTATGTACAGATCATGTGGGTTGGCCAAATAGAGAAGGAAAGAGGGAGTAGTAGGTCATGTTGAAGAAGCTTTCGAACTGATCCGTAGGCCTTCAACATACTCCAGGAATCTCTCCATCTTCAAATGTATCAAGGCTAGACTTGTGGGTTGAACTGTCTCCATCTGAAGGTTTGACAGACCAACATGTGACAACATGGACTTCATTGAAGGAGTATCCAACCAGACAGTTGTATCCATCGGATAGGAACCAAGGACACGGAGAAAAGTTGCATGTTCCTGGAAGAAAGAACATGGACCCCAAGGACTTCTGGAATTTAGACCAAGAAAAGAGGACTTTTGGGGGGAAAACAAATATGATCATTACAAGTTAAAGACATGGTTAAGAAGTTTGAGAGGACTGACCTTTAAATTTGCCAATGGATTTTGGGCGCGCTTTTCTGCCATAGAAGCTTCAAAGTCAATGTAGAAAAGATAGTCGAAGTACCCATCAGCAGACATCGATCAGATTAATAGCATAAATTTAACTACTTATTACTCGTGATAATCTCTCTGTCAAAAATAGTGTATTGTTCTTGGTTTATTCTTTCAAGTATATTACGCATACCTTCAAAAATATTGCATCAATAAGATCTACTGCCCATCAATATGCAAATTAATTCTGGAATTACCAAGATCCAATTTACAGTAGCTGATCTCAATAGATACGACACTTACTAGGTGGCCGCTTTGTCAGAATCGACTCTTAGATGCATTTTTGGTGGTCGTCTCTCTATCTGAAAATTGCTCAAAGAGGTAAGATAACAAATCAGAATCTCTGGACATTACGATATGTCGAAGACTGAACACTTTGTTATATCTACCTTTGACAAATTAATACCCATTTGAGTAAACACAGCCAATGCATTGAACAGCACGACGGGACCTTCTGCTAGACTAAAAACAATGCTTCAGGTCCTGGTGCATGAGACGAAGTAAATCAAAACAAATTGACTTTTCCAGAAATCAAAATTCAAGGTGACAAAAATCTTTCCAGGTAAAAACCAAAACAAAAGAGGAGTGCTATATTATACACAGCCTCGGACAAAGTAGTGACAATTTAAGAGCATTGACTGAAAAAGTTTTGATATATAGACTGAAGAGTCCGAGGAAGAAATCAAAGTAGCCAGAGTGA